GGACGAAATCGAGGCCCTCAAGGAGGAGCTTGCCAAGCAGCAGCAGACGCACGCACTCGCCCACCAGATGAAGGAAGCCGACGAAGACGAGGTGCTCCGGCTCCGCGACGAGATTGCCCTGCACAAGGCGACGCTGGCGGCAACGCAAAAGATGATGCAGGACCAGCTCGTGCGCGAAGAGCTCCAGGCGCAGGAAATGGAGCGGCTCAAGATCTTCACCCGGTCGCTCTCGATCACCGAGGCGCCGCGACCGGCCATGAGCCCCCGCTCCAAGTCGACGAGCGCGATGGTGCACGACGACAAGGCAGCCGACGATGCGTCCATGTGGCTTTAACCCCACATAAGATCCTATTCAACTATACCACTCCATCTATTCCATCGAAAATCGGGTCGAAAAAAGGTACTGCAGCCAGCATTTTTGAGCAGCCAGTCTCAAAGTCAGAGCGGATCTCAAAATCCTTCCATTTGCATATTAGTACATCAAATGCCGATGTAGCAGATTGCTTGGCCTTTCATGTTCGTCAATAAGGGAGGCGCTCGAAAGCCTCCAAGTGCTGCGACGAATCTCAAGAGTCCGATCTTGTTGGAGGATGTGGCAGTTGCTCGCTTAGAGCGACGGTTGGGGGTAGGTTAGTGTCGGAAGTGGCAGCGGGGCTATCATAGCAACCAACGAGGCGAATCGATAGCGTTGATACGTATTTCTCTTCTCTCACTTCGTTTTCTTAGCGAACGCGTCAAGCCCCGCAGCCCGCAACGTACGAGTGATGGAGAAGCGACAAGGGTCGACAACGACTTGGCATTCCACGAGCTGAGTGCCAGTGTATTGTGTGCAGGCAAGTCCCATGGCTGTCCAGACGTGACGGGTCGTTGTGTAGGATGCTTGCTATAGAAATGATGAGTGCATCGCTCGATGCTGCTGCTGTGTCAGCATCGCCTCCTTGTCCGTCACAGCTGTGCCGTCGACGCTTACGCCAAATAGCGACCCGTGGAGAGCGGTTCTTGTCGCGCATGTTCAACACCGTCTACCACACTGCGTAGATAAGCCAGATAGAAGCATGCATAATGCATTAGCTGCCTTTAAAATTGATGTCGAACCCTCTTCAATCTGTTTTCTAGCTTTGTCCTATCTGTCACGTGGCTTTCTATTTCGTCCATCTCCTCAATTCGTTCCGCAATGGCTCGTAGGGGTGTAGGGAAGGGGCAGGGAGCTCCATGAAAAACGTCAACACTTGTGTTATATCAACAACTCTATGGGCTAGGTGCATATTCGGGGCAGATGGACGCAATTGCAATGGGCCGTTGACGGTCGACGTCGTACATGACCGGTGGCTGCTTGGCGGTGTGCACCAAGTGCGCCGTGACAGCCCGCGCGCAGGACGCGTACATAAACTTGAAGCCGCCAGGAAAATGAAAAAAGACCGGCGCTGACCCACTCCACGTCAAGAGGCTGCCGCTGCCGTTGACATAGTACGCCGACGAGCACCCGCTGTTGGGCGTGAGGTGCTCAAACGTCCCGTGTCCAACGCCCGACGACACGACAAAGAAGATGTCACCGTCGCGGTCAACCTGCGCGTTGAGCTCGGGAAATTGCACGTACGCGAGCTGAAAGGAAATTTGGTCGCCGTAAAAGAAGAAGGGACTTGTCCCAGCGTCGTAGGCGTCTTGCTGTGCCTTGTGCACTTGCTTGACGCGGCGGAGGTACGCGCGGACGCTAGCAACATCGCCGAGGATGCCCCCCGAGCCAAGAAACAAATTCGGGCCCGTGCCATGCTACATTGTATCAGTGTATCAGTCTATCAAGCGTTGTACATGTCCAACATGCAAGTTAAAACGTACACTTTGGGCGACGGACCGAGCCCGGATTTCGTCGCACATGTAGGACCCACGCACGGACCGCGCGGATGACGACGTGTTTAAACGCACGTCAAAGGACGCGGCGCGCAGCTGGTCGCCGTAGTCGCCGCCAAGCGTGAACGAGTCGCCGCAGGTGGGCTCGGCGTTGAAGAGGATACCGCGCTGCCCGCGGGTTTGGCGTAAGAAGCGCTGCGTGAGCACATCCAATGGCATTTGTACGACCACGTCATAGGCGTCCGTGTACAAAAGCAGGTCGTCGTCGTGCAAATCCGGGTGCGACGCGAGGTAGTGGTGCAGCCAGTGGGTCTTCTTTTGCTGTCCGACGCGAAAGTCGTTGGCGGTATTGGCCCCGCACTGGGCCCCGCACGACGTGTTGTCGAAGAAATTCGTCGAGTGATTCCACGCCAGCACCTGCAGCTGATGGCCCGTCGCGTGCACGGCGGCGGCTACGAGGCAGATTTCGGGCCGGGTGTCGTCAGCGAGCGTCAAAAAATGAAGTTTGCGCGGGGTGTAGCGGGGGGGCATACCCCCTTGCCGCAACGTGCGCTCGAGGTGGGCCAAGTGCACGACGGAGAGCGTGTTGAAGACGATGACGAAGAGCGCGAGGCACCCGAGGCCGAGTACGAACGGCTTGGCACGGAGCATGGCGTCGAGGGATTTGAAAAGTGATCCTCCACGTTGTGTTCTGGTTGCGCTGGTCGTCGGGCTAAATTATTCCTTCCATATGACCAACGAGAGGAGGAAAGCCAGTGTAGCTTTGAATCGCGCTTGTTGGCCAAAGTGCCTGTGTCGTCTGGATGCTCACGTCCATCTGACGAACACCAACTCTGAATTGCAAAGGCAGCAAGCGACGACGATGTACAGCGTACACGGTTGAAACACTGAACAGGAAAAGTGTGGACATCGGAAGCGATGCACTCAGCTCGCTCGTACGACACGATATGGAAAGCCCTCGAGTCCATCGAGTGCCACGGAGGGGTCGCGGTACAGTCAGCTGCGGTACGGTACAGTGGTGAGCCCCCCCCGGTGCGTGGTACGAACGCGTTACGTTGCCCGACAGCATGTGCGATATGCCTAATGAGTGCCACGAGTATAACAGATGTGAAGACTATCAGATCGCGGCAAGGCGCTTGTGGAAATTTCAAGTGATAGCGAGACCCGCGGTACCATAATCAACTCGAAAAATTCTTGTCTTGTCCTCCTCGGCTCAAATTTCCATGTCATGACTGTCCAAACGTGTCACGGCGCGGCAGAGTGTGTGGACCGGACATCACCGCGACGCCGCACGCATTCTCCCTTGGATCACTTCAAGATCACGAAAAAAGGGCACACAATATTGTCCAGCGCTGGACCAATGGACTAGCATTCAATGGTAATGGCATTTAGTCCATACGCTTGTGGTGGTGGTAGCCATTTTGAAATCGTCTCTCACGCTTGTAATTGGAAAGGATGCAACTTGCGAGGACCACTGTCTTTGTAAAGACATGTGTTTGCACCTGAACGACAAATCCAGTTTTGAAGAGTGTCCGCCCGACGCACCCGGACACTCGTCGTGCGGTACACTATTACCGTACGTGTGGTTTTTATCCTTTCACGTCGAAGCGAGAACGGACGCCAACCATGCCGTCTCGGTTGTGCAACCGCTATAATGGTTTGGGCACCCTATTTGGCAACTGTCGTGGTGGCTGATCAAGTGCGTCGTCGTCTATTAAAATAGATCATTTCAAGCTGTCGGACGTTCGTCGCTGGTGAAGTGAGTCTATTTAGATAGAATTTACACGGAACTGTTTTTGGAGGTGGCCTTTCTACGCCAAGCGTGTTGCGATTGACGGCAGCGACACCGGACGTTCTTCGTTCATTATGACACTCGGTGCAGGGACGCGGTCGAAGACGGAAGCGCGATCCGCGGGACAAGATGTTGGCGCGGCCACTCGTCTTGTGTCAAAAGCAAAAGAAGCCAAAGAAGAGTGGGCTCGTGAACGAGGCTGCGTGCAGGCGCAGTATAGCGACGCGTGTAGCCTTGACGGCAATCGTCCATGGACTTGGCAGTGGTAAGTCTTCGCGGAAGACGCGATCGTTCCAGACGCGCCATACATTGAACCAGACGCAGGCGCGGCACACCGGCCAAAAGCTTTGGAACTTGGTGTATGTTGTAGGCCATCTTGGGCATCTCACACCCAAGGGGGCGTGGAGCATGGCCCCCACGTCTTTGATAAAGTCGCCGTCGACGAGGAAATGGCGGTACGTCTCGTGCGCGGGGTAAAAAAGATAGGTATGCCAGTTGTGGTAACTGTCGTTGCACAACGGGCCAACCGCCGCATGATGGTGGGGTAGCCAACGCTAGAGACAGCCATGACGACCCATACGACCCTTGCCTCCTCCAACCCAACAACCTTTTTGCCCTTGACCTTATTTTCCTTGGAATATTCTTCCTTTATACTTGCTAGGGATATCCCTTGATACTAGTTAGCGCAGTTTCGGTGGGGCGTGAAGGAGTCACCCGCGAGATGCGGCACATCATTGGCAAAGCTATATCTATCTATGTTTGCTCTTCAAACGCTCCCACGTGAATAATATCCCAGTGGTCAAGTATCGTCACACAGCGACGTTGAAACCCCCGCTAAAAAAAACTTCAACGACGCGCGTTTCGCGACTTGTAAAAAGGCGGCATGGCGACCACGGTGTCGCTCAAGGGTGTCGACTGGACCCGTCTCGTCGACCGTGCGCGCGCGCGCATCCTGCCGCTCGTCAGCGTCCTCATCTTTATCTCGATGGGTGTCGACTTGGTCGTCAACAACTGGGCGATCAACGATCTGCTTGGGAATGGGTATTTTTTTGCGACGCCCGTCGCGTCCGTGCGGTACGCCAAGGACCTCGCGCTCACGTACGCCTTTCCCAAAGGGCGCGCGCCCGCCGACCTCTCTAACGTCGGGCAGCTGCTCGCCAACACGACGGTGCGCGGCTTGGGCTGCAAAAGCGCCCAGATGTACGTCATCTCGGCCGGCGACTACCCGCTCACGAATGCCACGTCGCTCTGCGCGACCTTTCAAAAAACGTACATCAACGTCGCGGTCTCGTCCGCGCTGACAACCCGTGTCGCGACAACGACCGAGACGATCACGTTTTTTCGCGGCAACGCCGTCACGCACGCGTTCACGGACGACGCTACCGCAAATCTCGCGACCCGCGCCATGAAGAGCGCCGAGCTTTTGGACCTGGGGTACATCCCTGGTCGGTCGGCGGTCGACATGCGCTTCACGCGCGAGTTTGTCATTGCGAATACGTCGTTATCGCAAACCCGCAGCATTTCGTATTTTCGCCTCTTTCCGCGCAACTTTTGCTCGGCGTGCGACCCGGTCGCCGAGCTCGGATTTGGCGCGTGCAGCATGGCATTTGTGTACAACGCGACCGCCAAGACGATCGCCGTCTCGTCCAGTACGTTTATCGACGGCTCGACGTACACACTCGGTTTGATTCAGCCGCGCAACGCGTTCACAACCCTCGCGCTGTATGCGCGGTGTCTGGCGATATTCATTGCGCTCAGTGGCTACATTGCGAGCCGTCTCACGGTCCATTGGCGCGACGTCGACTTGACGAAAACGGAGGGCGTGGTCTCGCACGTTCTGCGCATCATCTCGCCGAAAGTGTTTCCATACCAAAGCGACGCGCTCACGCCCGACATGTTTTGCTTCAACTCGGATTTGTTTGTGTTTCTCTACTCGATCAGCATTGTGCTCGACACACAAAACTGCTTTATCTTTGTCCGCAACGTCAACGTGTACAACAATCTCGCGCCCCAAGCCGCCCCCTCGATCCAAATGTTCTTTTTGAGCCTCCGCTTTCTCTGGCTCAACTGCGCCGTGCTGAAATTGCTCAAGATTTTCTGGAATTTGCTCGGCACGGTCGCGTTCACCGGCCACTCGAACGTCATCGAGTGGCTCAACTGGTCGAGCGTCGTGAGCGTGTATGTGAGCGCGATTGTCCTCGTCTACATTCCGCAGTTTATCGAGTACAGCAACAATACGTTCATCGAGCTCCAAGGCCACGCCGAGTCGCTCGACGGCATCCGCGTCGAAATGTTTGATAGCTTTTACGTGCGCTGTGCATCGTCGATCGCGGTCGGACTCATCGCGAACCTCGTTCTTGTCACGGCGCTGGACCACGGACTCAATCATAAACGCTGGAAGCTCCTCAAGAAACACACGCTGGCACGCCAAGCCGTGTACAACAGCAGCTCGATTCTCTGTGATTTCTTCAGCGACGTTCAAGAAGACGACTCGATCGCGGCCGACCCGACAATGACGCTCTCGGCGCGCCGCCTCTGCACGCTCCAATGGTTTTTCTCGACGCACTTGACGTGCTTTGGGTTGCCCGAGAAGAAGCTACGCGCAAAGAAGCAAACGGTCGTTCAAGTCCAAACCAAGTCAGCGCCGTCAATAGCGAGCTCGGCGACGACCAACTCGCGCAGTGTCGTCATGAGCGAAGCCGCCGCCGCCGCTTTCCTCGCCGGCTTCAAGGCCGGGAAGGACGACCCACG